ACTAAAAAGCTTCTGCAGAACCAAAGAAACAATCAACGTAGTGAAAAAGACAATCTACAAGATGGAAAAATTTTTTGCCAGCTACCCCTCTGATAGAGGACTAGTATCTAGACTATATAAAGGATGCATACAAAAAAATGACCCCCTACAAAGACCCATCAAACAGGAAATGCCATTGCCCTATGGTCCATGCAGTAGTCCATTCCGCATGTAGAACAGAGCTTCTCTTTTTCTTTCAAAGTACCTTAAATTATAAGACTATCCTCCAATTATAGCACTTTTCCTTAAAATATATAAGGCAAAATAAATTGCCTTATGTTCAGGCTTTTGTGACTCTTAATAAAAGTGAATGCTCAGGAGATATGGTGTTTAGAGTGACACCTGAGAAGGAAAACGATATTCTGGATGATCCTGTACTGAGACCTCCACTTGCCTCTCAGGTGGATGTGGGTCTCTCTGATCTGTCTGATGATATGAGGAGGTCTCCTCAACCTCCACTTTATAACCTACAGGGCAATAAATCAAATCAATCCCCTACAAGTTACTCAGGGACTCCATTAGAGCCTAGTACTCTAAGGGAGGTCCGTGTTCCTTAGCCCCCTTATCATGCTTCTTAAGACAACTTAAAGCCTCGCAGGCAGAACCCGAAGTGGTGCTTCTTACTATAATTCACAACTTACACTGCCCCTAAGAAAAGTCCAAGGGCCAAGAGGGAATATTCAAGTGCAAGTCCCTTTTTCCATTGCAGGTGTCCAACAGTGCAAGGACTGACTAGGCTAACTATCAAAAGATCCTAGTAAGTTTGCAGATGGCTTTCAAACTTTGGCCCTTGGTTTTGACTTATCATGGCAAGGTGTGTAATACATCTTAGCCACTTATTATACCCAAAATGGAAAATAAAACCCTACAAGAGGCTAAAAACTATGCAGATGAGCAATACGTCTTAAAAAGGGAAAGAAACCACCGTAGAGAGGCTATTCTCTCTTCAACGGAGCCAAACAGCCTATAATATTCAGGATGGACTAGAAATGATGTCTAGTGTGGTACAAGCTCTTACCATGGGGATGAAAAGGTACATTAAAAAGTCTGTTGATTATGATAAAGTGAGTGGAGTCTCACAGGCTACAGAAAAAAAATCCAGCTTTGATTCATAACCAATTAGCAGAGGCCTTCCACAATTATACTAATATAGAGCCATCTTCTAGGGAGGAAGAGGAGCTAACGGGATATCATTTCATCTGTGAATTAGCCTCAGATACTTGGCATAAACACAAAAACTTCAGATGGGGCCTCAGCCACCTAAGACCCGATTGCTGGACACCGCCTTTTCTGCATTCAATGATCAGAACCCAGAAGAGAGACAAAACAGAAAGACTAGAATTATGGCTGTTCCAACTGGTAATGCTTTAAACCCATCCAGAAGATCCAAGGAAAACCCAGAGACAGACAAGGAAAGACTTCCTGTTTCGAGCACAAGAAGACACAGGGCACCAGATTACACCAAGCCTCCACCTAGGTTCTGCTCCACATGTGAGGCAGCTAATAAGCCTGACACATAGCAATGGAAGTCTCACTGTGCCCACTCCCAGAGAGGGCCAACCAGACAACTGAGGCCCAGGGAAACTTGCAATGCTCCTGTCTACAGACATCACCATCTCCTCCAAGGAACCCTTGGTAAACTTGGACGTCATGAGTGAGTCAATTCAAGTGCTTATTGATACTGGGGCAGTTCATTCTGTTTTGACTTCCTTCTCTTCTCTAAATCTATATCATAGCTGGGGTCAATGTGGCCCCTCCCCTACACAGAGATTCTTTACCCCTGCTCTGACATGTCACTTTAAAGGCCAAATGTTTAACCATGAGTTTCTAATTGTGCCAAAGTGTCCTGCTCCCTTGCTAAGACGAGATTTATTAGCTAAATTGGGGACAACTCTCAAATTCCAGCTAAAGCCAAAATAGATTTTACTTGTTGGGACATCAGGGTTCCTTGACCAAATTAGCCAAGTGCATCCTGCTGCATGATATAAGGAAATACCTGGTAGGGCAAATTCTGCTATACCAGTAGTTATAAGGCTAAAAGACCCCAGCTAGTTTCCTGACCAAAAACAGTAGACCCATGAAGGAAGAGGTACATAAAGGCCTCCAGCCTCTCATGGACAAGTTCCTCAGATAAAGCCTTCTGAAACCTTGCCAGTCCCTTTGTAATACTCCCATTCTCCCTGTAGTAAAGCCCTTTAGGAGAATATTGTGTGGTGTAAAACCCCTGCCTCATTACCAAGGCTGCAATTCCAATCCATCTTCTAGTAGCGGATTCATATACAATTCTATCCCAAATTCCCGGAGACACTAATTGATTTTCAGTCTTAAATTTAAAAGATGTTCTTTTCTCCATCCCCCTACATCTAGACTCCAATTTTCTGTTTGCCTTTGAATGGGGAAATTCCATTTCAAGAGAAAAGCAGCAATCTACTTAGTTATCTTCTCCCACAAGAGTTTAGAGACAGTCCTCCCCTTTTTGCTTGGGAACTAGAAAAAGAGTTGAGGAACTTAAAGCCTAAACAAAGAATCATTGTGTACAGTATGTAGATAGGGCCAGGGATTTAGCTCAGTGGCAGCATGTGTGCCTCGTAAGTACAAGGTCCTGAGTTTGATCCCTTATACCAAAAAAACCAAACAACAACAACCAAAAAAAAAAAAAACTGTAGATGATATTCTAGATTGTAGTCCAACTCAAAAACTATCTAACACTGCAGAATCTCAACTTTCTAGCTAAGAAGAGATATAAAGTCTCCAAAGAAAAGGTTCATACATCCCTAAAAAGCTACTCCTGGAAGCCTCTGGAAGACTTGAGGTTTCTCTTCAAAATGCAAGACTCTTGTGCTGCTTCCACAGGAAGCATGGAAATCTGACCTGCTCCTCACACGTGGACTCATAACAAAGGTCAATGATCATTAACTGTTTTCTTGTTTCCTGACAGGTTTTCCTTTCTTCAATCCAGCCAGTGAGCCACAGCACCCCCAGGTAGTTGGACGACATATGATCCCCAACTGATAGAGCCTACATCCGCTTCCAGCTTGAGGATGGTACAGAAGACAGAGAACTCCACTCCCTCAGTACCCGGTAAGGAATTATGGGGCTTTGTGTCTCTGGGCGGGAGGGGGGAGATGAGATAGGCAATTAGGGTGTGGCAAAAGCAGGATGGGGAAGTGAGCATGACCTATTAACTACAAGATTCCAGACACATGCACAAAACAGTTCCCAAAGAATCTGAGCAGGTTTTCAATAGGACGGCCTGTACTGACATCCGGTGTAGGACCCAGCACTGCCTCTCAGTACCTGTATGTAGAAGTTTTTGCAGGTTTCCTCCAGATTCAGACAGCATAAAAGGACACACTGACACCATGAAGATTTTACTATCACAGTTTTCCCTGATTGCCCCTGCTGTTTTTCCTAGATGCAGTGTGTACCTTCATCTTTGCTCTTACCCTTTTTTTTTCTTTACTCGGCCCAAGCTGGGTCTTTCTCTCTCAGTCTTCACTTTTACTTTCTCAAATCAACTTTGCCACCATGGTTTGCTCATTTTGTTCAATTCTTTTTTTGAGAGAAAAACCTCGAATCCAACTCCTCCGGAGAGGTAAGCAACTCTGAACCCAGAAAGGTATGGTCACTTTTTAGAGCCACTTTTTAGATGCCAGATACCCAGTAATACCCATGTAATCCCCGCTACTTGGGTAGCTGAAGCAGGAAGACTACAAGTTTCAAGCTTGCCTGGGCACTTTAGCAAGACCCTGTCTCAAAATAATAAGGGCTGAGGCCGTGACTCAGAGCTTCTTGGGTTCCATCCTCAGTTGGAGGGAAGGGGGAAGTTTACAATTGTGTGGTCCACAATTAAAAAGATTACACTTCCCTGGGTTGGGGCAAACAAATTATGTGTACTATGCCATCATTTTTAGCAAAGTTCTAAATTTCTCTACAGTTCTACATGTCCTCTTTAAAATTTCAATGACTCTACAATCACAAAGTCTGGATTTCAACGCAAACGTTCTGTTTATCCTAACATAACCTGAATGATTTACAGCAGACTTCAGTCATCTCCAGTCAGCAATTTTTCAGGCTGAAGAACTGCTTACCTCTATTTTCAAACCAACCAGCTTCAGACTTTTAAGTCCTACTGAAAACGTCCTCTAATTTCCAATTCCATTCATTTCTTTATATATACAAATGAGAAGAGGTAATCCTGCAGGTCCTTCAGGTCCATGAAACACTGAGTAGCTTTTATCCTCCACTCCAAAAGAAGTCAAAGGATTACTCTTTACTTCAGGTGTCTCCTTAAGACAGTGAATAATGCTGTGTGATATAACACAGTCAAGTCACTCGAGACCCTAAAGAAACCAAGCTTTACCTCGCTGAATTTGAACCAGAAATTTTTCTTCCAGTTTGATTGCCAATACAGCCTTTTTATATCATCTGGTTTCTGTACTGGTTGAGTGAGAAAATTACCAAGGGCTTGAGATTAAAACGGTAGTAATAAATCACGGAAACAGGCCTCTAAGTCTACAAATTAAGTTATGAGAGAATCGTTAATGTATTAATAGGCATTTGCTACGTGCAAAGGCAATAGAAGGGACAAAAAGCTGGCAAGCTCTGAGAACTTGACGTTGAACTTGGTTAACTTTGTGTTTTCACCCTACCCTCTGCAGTACCTGGCATCTGCAAGAACTCACAAAGCTGAACTAAATTCGTTCCTCTGATGGAATGGGATCTGCTCCAGCGAGGAGCCCACAGGAGAAACTGGAGGGTGTGGGGGGGCGGGGTTTAAACTATAGCTTTGCAAAGTATTCGCCAAAAAGCTTTATATATTTAATTCCAAAGGGACTGCCGCTCTTTTTGAGCCTGTAGCGGGTAGTGGAAATCAGTATGATAGCCTCTGAGAGACACAAAGCGAGACACCACTGAGGACCTCAAAGGTCTGAAGCAGAAATAAAGGGAGCGTCACTTGCCTCCCATTCCTGCAAGAAACGCTGGGCCTCCTCAAAACCAACAGTCTTATGTCTCCTAAATTCGTCCTTCACGTACTGGTCTCCCAACGCTTTGAGATCCACGGGCAGAAGTCGATGTAGCTGTAAAATGAGCCGATATAAGGCCCGGACGCGCGAAACATGCTCCCCCGGCATTGCCTGGCGCGTCGACTGCCAACTGCGCCTGCGCAAAATCGACGCGTCTCCGCCCCCTCGGAGAAGCCTCCCTGGGAGAACCGGAAAGCGCGCTACCTTCCCCCGGTTTGGTGCTCTAGAATCGGGTCCCTCTGGAAACCAGAGCTTTGCTCCGTATCGAAAACGGGCGGGGTTTTCTGTTAGAGGCGTGGCCTTCGTGAAGTTGCCCGAGTTCTCCTGGGCTTTGTAGTGTGGGGAGAAGTGTGTGTCGAGTATTCCTGTCTTCACGTGCACGGCATCAGTGGGGTTCAGCTCGCCCAGCAGCCCACGCCCTTTGTGTAGTGTGTGCTGCGAGTTTGTGCGCAGGAAAGCGTGGGCTGCTTCGTGGAACCGACGCTAGTGAGCCCTGAGCTGGTAGGCTTTCAAATTAAAGGTAACGTTTGGGAGGACTTTTAAATGTACTGGTTTCAGGGTTACCATCCTAAAGATTCTGATTAGTCAGAGATTAAAAATGAGGAATCGAGAACTTTAGTAAAGTTCCACCTTTTGCAAAAGTGGTAGTGAAAGTGTAACATTCTTTGCTCCTTGTTTTCTTATCTCACATTCAGTCCTTCAGCAAATTCTTAGGGCTCCACCCACAGAATATATACAGAAATCGACCATTTTTTCATCAAGTGCTCTAACAAAATCATCAATCCCCACTGGATACAGTGAGTTTCCTTATCTGTGTTCCTGCTTCTGGAAGTGACTGACTGGTCATGATCCACCTAAACTGTAGATCAGATCATGTTATTCCTCTGCTCAACAAAATCCTCTAGTGACATCACAGTAAAAGCCACAATCTTCCTCACCTTTAAAGTTCTAAATTTTCTCTGCTGTTTTCATAGTGGACCAGTTCCAGCCACACTGACCTTTAGCTCAACTCTGCAAAGGTTCCACACACTCCCAATTGAGGACCTTTTTTTTTCTCTATGGTTCTTATGCACAATATTTTACTTAGTTACTTATTTCAGTTTCTCCTCTACTAGAATATAAATTCCAAAGACATAAGAAGAGGAGACAGAGGTTCCCCACTAGAGTACCAGGGACCTGTAACCAGAATTAAGGTAAATATTTGTTGAATTAATGTTGAAGTTCATTAATGGTGTCAAGTGCCTGACAGACTTGCTGATGGGCAAAAGACAACTGTACTGAAATTTTTGTAATTCTCTTACAAGCCCCAGAGTTCTGTCTGTGCAAAGACTTTTGAAATTCAAGAGACACATACCCAGTAGAAACTTACCACATTACCTTACAAAAAGTAAGCAATCCAATATTTATTTCTTTGAATATATTTCCTTTTGCCTAAATTTAAGGAAAATATATGTTTAAAAGAACACACAACATTTTTAAATGAGTTTAATATTGTGATGAGCCACAGTGATGGCAAGAATTGAAGGGCAATGTGGTTATTTTATTTCAGGAAATTTTTCTAACCATATGTCATTTATTAATATCTCTATGAATTGAAAATTAACTTTTTGTTCCAGTTTACTTTTCTTTGTGGCTTCCTTTGGGGTTAAAGTATATATTTAATTACATAATTTATTTATATAATAACTCAGAGCCAAAGCTCTTACAGAAATGCAGAAAAAACATTCTGCCAATAAATGAATAAAAAATAGTAAAAGAATTCAGCCTAAAGGGGACAGAAAAGGTCCACAAAGCACTGCAAAATCAAGGCTCAGATGTGGAGATGATAGGCTAGAAATAATCCAATACATGGTACTGTTAGACCTTGAGAAGAGGAATGAAGCAATAATAATGAAAATAATGACAGACAAAACATTTTTTTATAATAGGCCGAAAAATGAAACACATTTTGAGAAAAAAAGCATTCTGCATCTCTGACCATCCAATTTACTTTTCTTCTGCAGTCAAACAGCCATGAGCTGAAAACTAGATCCGAGTTGAATTCCTAGCCATCAGTTCAGATTAGTACATTTCATGAAAGCCTTTCCTTTATGTTTTCTCTGTGTTCCTTTTTGCCCTGTGTCACAAACTGGGTTACTAAACTACTGTATGCTTGGATTTTCTCATTTGTCAAATGAACCTGATCAGGTAAGTGTCAGTATCCACTGCCAGCATAATTCTTGATAATTATGACTCCTCCCAGTTTCCTTCAAATATTTGTAATGTGAAAGAAGACACATATCCACTCAAACTGCCTGGAAAGACTTCTGTTTAAGAAAAAATTAGGAAACACTTTACAACTGTATGCACAATATCGCCTAAACTGTTCAGGACACACAGAGTGACACCTACATTCCTAGGGAAGATCAATGCAACAGTTGCAACATTTGAAGTGTGCTTGCATGGACCTGTCAAGCAAATAGAGATGGAAGAGGCAGACAGAGTTTTTGACAAGCATAGAAAGAATTTTCAGGTGAAAAAAAAGAAATGATGACCATAGAAAAATAAACTGGAAGAAGAAAGGGACCATGTGCATGAAGGATACTGAATTACTACTTTGTGTTATAGTACCCTAGTCTAAAATGTAGAAAATAAGTCTTACTTGCCAATAATGTTAAAGCATTTTGCTCTGCAATGGAAGTAAAAAGAGATTGGAGACAGGCTGGTGGTGACAGATTTGGGTATTTTATGTTGTTAGGTAAGGAAATACACTCACAGACGTGGATTTGATTACTAGGTGGGTCAATTGTGAATTTAGGATTACTCGAATTTCAAACTCCAAATCACAAGGCCACTAGTTCAGTTGTTCCGCCACCTGCCTCGCAAGTACAAGGTCCTGAGTTGGATCCCCAGTACCAAAAAAATAAGTAATAAATAAAATTTGAAATCCCAGAGAATAATGAAAAGTCTGGGACCAGATCCAGCTTTCTCATTTCCCACCTTAAGAATAAGGTATATCACTGAGGAGACCAGTGTAAGAAAGAAGGAATTCTCGGGACACTTTTAATTGGTGAATGAATGTTTTTAATTATTGAAAGGCAGTGGCAGGGAAACAGATAGCTTTCAAGTTTAAACATGGAATTAGAGGAATGGGAGAAGCAAACTGACTCATAGAACGTCTAGCCCCCAAAATCCATCAGCTAATAGTCCTTATTTTTAATATTTTCCCGAATGCTTCATGTCTTCTGAAACATTTTACAAAACAAAAAATCAAAGAGGACTAGATATACATGTATCTGAAGAGAAAGACCAAACTGTAAATATTGCTTTGAAATGTTTACATGCGTTGATTAATGAAGATGGAAAATCAAAAGGCCAAAGAAAATGTCATGTTTAATAATTTAATGATATATTAGTCAATCTAAGAAAAAAATGACTACTGCCAGAGAAGCCAAAAAACACTGGACGAGTTCTTGATTTTAGAATAATGAAATAACAATCAATTTTATTTATTCTTCAGTACAAAAGCCAGCATCCTGTTTAATAGGAAAACATCTGACAAAGTAGACAAGATTCTGCATGAAAAGGAAATGTGAAAATAATCCATATATTTCCTTAATTCTGTGATGGTGAGCCTTTTAGAGACAAGGGCCCGAACTGCAAACTGAAACCTACTTCTTATAGCAAAGAGCCAACACTGCAATTATACCTGAATACTGAAGTTTTAGGTTAGAAAAATCAACTCATACATTAACATGCTTTGTCTTTTTTAAAAAAACGCATTTACCATAGGTTCACCACCACTGCCTTAGTTAAAAAAAAGAAAAACCAAATTCTTATTTTTGTGGGGAAGTACCAGGGATCAAACTCAGGACCTTGCACATGTGAGGCAGGCACTGTGCCACTGAGCTAAATCCCTGGCCCTGATAAACTCTGATTTTTAAAAACTGCCTCTAGGAATAAGGACAGAGGAAAAGTGGAAAGGAATGAAAATTATATATTTCTGAATGTATACTTTATAATTTTTACTTTTTTAAAATGAAAATGTGTCATCAAAAAAATTAAATTTATAAAAAGCCAACATTGACATTGAAAACCTACCTAAGTACCATTTCTATATGCTTTTCTGTCACATGATGCTAGTTTTAGTCTAGTTTGCAGTTTATATTTATTTCTTCGTTACCCATAAGTCATTAGTAGGTATAAAAATAGACTTTTGACTGCTTTCTGTATTGCTAATTTTATTACACGGTAATCAGTAAATACATCCTGTGTTTGATCAACATATAGAGGAGAAATTTCTTCAGCTTTTCTTTGATACCTGCTACACAATTTTTGTGAGGTACTGTTTGTAAAGAATATGTTGTCTTTATTTCATGTGTACAAAGTCATACATTCACAATATGTTTTAGATCAAGGTTAATTATATTATCCAAATGTTCTATATTTTTAACCTATTTGATCTTTTATAAAATAGAGCATTAGTGTCACCCAGTGTGATTGTTGATCTCTGTCTCTCCATGTGGTTATATCTGGTTTTCTTTTGTGTGTTTTGAAATCATGTTGTTAAACTCATACTTTTTTTTTTTTTTTTTTTTTTTTTTTTTTGGTTTTCTGAGACAGAGTCTCACTATGTAGTTGAGACTGCCCAGGAACTCACTGTGTAGCCCCTGTTGGTCTCAAACTCACAGGTATCCTCCTGCCTCAGCCTCCCGAGTGCTGGGATTATAGTCGTGTGCCACCATGCCCAGTTTAAACTCATACTTTTTAGCTGCATTAAATAATTCTTCTAGTTCCTGTCAGTATCTTTCAATTGCATTTTTTTCTGATGTCAATATATTTAAATTGCTTTTGTTTTGTTATCATTTGCTTGAAGGACCTTTTTATGTTCAGCTACCATGTCTTTTTTTTTTTTTTACATGTTTCTCTCCTCTGCACCATCTGTTGCTGGATTTTTATCCAATCTTTCTATAGATGAGTTTACCCTACTCATATTTATTATTTTTAATGGTCTCTTTAGACTAAGCTCTGATGTCATATTTTGAGTATTCTAATTACCACTATTTTCAGATATTTTTATATTCTATTGTCTTTTATTGAACTATCAATTAGGAAATTTTAAATTATATTTCTGGTTTTCTAACCATTACTCTAGCATTTTAAAAGTGTAACCACAATTTCTTTGTCCTGGGTTCACTGTATAATATAAGAATAGGGTTTTGGTGCTTTGACGTTTGTTTTGTTTTGATTCTGATCTATTTTTCACTGAAAGTGCCTGCCATTCATTAGACCTGGGAAATTCTACTCTTTCAAATTTGTCTTCTCTCTCCCGTCTCCACTGTCTTCTGCAGTTCATATTGGATGGGTGCTGGAACTTTAAATCAGCCACTAACATCTCTATTTTTCATTAGTGCATCCTCAGCACTTTGTTCCAGAAGATTTTCTTGACTTTACAAATGTGTTGCTACTGGCATTCACCCCATCCATAAAGTTTCGTAGTAATGCACTGTCCTCTCTTCTGTTTGTAGATAATCATATACGTACCCTAAAGTCCTTATCTTTGCTCTATTAACTGCTCCTTGAAGTGCAAGTTCTCTAGGTTTTTGAGTTTGTTTTCTCTCCTGGTTCTGGTTTTTCTCAAATGTAGATGATTCTAACTAGCTACAGTACTTATTTTGTATTTCAGATATCCGATTAATATTTATCTATTCTTTTCTTCGTTCAAGGGAATTACAAGACAGGCTACCAAGGATTGCATGCCTGCCTAGTTCAAGTACGGAAACTGAAAGGATGTGCTGCCATGAAGGCATCGTTCCTATTTAAGTGTCATAAATGGATGAATACCCCTTGTTCTGTGCCTTTGGCGGCCTTGAAAGACACTCTCCTTTCTCTTTGCCCCAAGACTTCTTGCCCACTGCCCTCGCCTGGAGGCAGCCACTTGTGGCAGCCCAGATAATCACCCAGTTATCTTCCAGGACCCTGGACTCATAGCCCTTCTTCCAGGCATGGTAATGTTCGTGTCACTGGCACCTGTTGCTAGCGCTCTTCTTTTCCTCATCTTTTGTGCTGAATTTTCTTTTCTTTTTTTCTTTTGTACCGGGGATTGAACTCAGGACCTTGCACTTATAAGGCAGGCGCAGCACCATTGAGCTACATCCCTGACCCTGTGCTGAATTTTCTTTTTCAGAGAGATCCCATGTACTCTCCATCTCCC